TGTGCCAGGCACCCTGCTAAGCATTTTACATTTATTTTCTCAGCCGAGTTTCTCAGCAACCCCTGCAGATCGGTACCATCTTGGTGTGAATTGGTTTATTGGCTTTTCCCTCCTGTAAACACCCAGGGGATGGTTGTCTTGATGGGAGGGAGGGACAGAGACTTCCAGAACGTGAACACTCAGCACAGGAAAGGCATGTCTGGGAGAGAAAGCTACGGCAAGGTTCCTGACGCCAAGGGTAAAGGCAGAGGGGTAGAGGGCAGGAAGAGGCAGAAGCGGCAAGTGCCTCCTGGCCTCTGCACAGACCCTGGACTCTTGGGCCTGGCTCTGCACCTGGGTGGTCCAGCCCGTACTCCCGCCGCCCCGCTGACGCGGCAGCGGCCTCTCCTGACCCCGAAGGATACAGAAGCTGCTGTGGCGTTATGGACACCAAAAAACTCTTCCTCCACCTCCACAAGTCCCAGGCAAGGGTTCCCCCCGACTCTTCCCAGGAATACATTTCACTAGTGGCTGACCCCTTGCCGCTCACCATCTCCACTTCCTCTCTGCATGGACTACATTTCCCAGCCTTCCTTGCAGGCAGGTGTAGCCATGTTGTGGCCATCAAAATGTGGGTGGAAGAGATAAGCACCGTCTAGGCCTGGCTTCCACACACCTTTCACACCTGCTGCTCTCCTCTTTCTCCACCCTTGGCTTGACGCGCAGGGACTTCTGGGAACCACCTGCACGGGCCAGGGAACCTGCATAGAAGGGCCTACATGCCTGCATCATGGCTCAGAGTGGGCCATCTGCCACCAGAACATCCATTTTGAGCTTCATGTGAAAGAGGAATAAACCGTTATCGTCTTTGCGCCAGGACAACCTTCCCAATCATCTGTATCGGCAGCAGTCACTGCCTTAATGGATGAACACAGGGTTCTCTGGGGCCACTCAGTGCACAGAAACTTCTAGGGGCAGGCCAGCTTGCAGCCTTAGAACTGAAGCCCACTAGCTGAACACCAGCATGGTAGAGTAGATCAAGAGCCCAGAGGCCAATTCTTAGCTTCTCTGTGCTCACCTGTCTGCACTAAGAACTAGGGACTCCTCCAGGTGTGGTCCCGACTTGATCTGACCTGTGAAAGGGAGTCCCAAGCTATTCTTCACTTGGTCACTGTACAAGCATCCTCTGAAGGAGACTACCTCATTGGTATTCAAAGCTGGCAGAGTAGGGGGCGGGGGCGCTGTGCGCGCAGCTAGCTGCCTGCACGAAGCAGGAGGCAGGCCTGTCGCTGGCCTTCTTCCCTGGCACCCGCAGGCAGCCTTGTCCGTGGGAGTGGGTGTGGGTGTGGGAGGGAGAACAGCAGGGCCCTGGCACAACGCAGGCAAACAGACCCAGGAAGCTGGTGTGCCTGGCATCTGGCCAGAGGAAATTGCTAGGACCACAAACCCCCTTCTCTCTCTACCCTTTGCTGCTCTGCTGATCTGGAGGCCTGCGCCGTGTGCCCTCTCTCCAGTCGTACCCCAGTCTTTCTAGGAAAGGTCGCTGCGGATATCCCTCTGGGCGAGTTCACTGGAGCTCTCTGGGGCCAGCTTCCCCTTGGTGGGCTCTGTGATTGATTTTTCTGGGCAAAGTCAGCCAGTTTGCTAAAGTGACAGTGGAAAGAGCGCTAAAACTTGCGTGGTGGGTAAGGTGAGGCTTATTTTATTCACGTAGAGGTGAAGATGTACCCCCAAAGATGGGTAAATCAATTGAAAAAAACAACAGAAAATTCTTATCTAAGCAGATGTAAATGATAATAACATTTTGAAAAACTTGCTTTGCAATTTTAGTTTTAGTGGGTTTGATTTCTCGTCATAAGGATTTGACCTGGACAGGAACAAATAAAATTTTCAGTAAATACTGAAACCAATACATAAAAAAGCTCTAGCCTTATGTTCAGCATAACTACCTCTTTCCAGGTTCTTCTCCAAAACAGTGGTCCGTCTGAGGACCCTGCGTCCCGGCCACACAGACTGAAGCTTTCAGAACGCTTTCCTCCACACGGGGCAGCCGTGGCAGATGCCCCGACAGTCCCTGACAGTCAGGCACACCTGACCCCCACCGGGAGCCGCTCCAAGCTCTAAGCAGGAAGCCCTCAGCCCCAGGCTGCAGTGGGGGGCCTGCTGGGAATTTTAGAAAGTTTCTCTTGGTGGCAAAATGGTCAACTGGCTCATCAGCAGTACGACTAAAATGGTTGATATTCAAGAGACACAGATGAGCTGAAAAATGTGAGAGGCAATCCCCACCCTCACGTGGACAGACTTGGAGAACCCGGAAGGCCTGCACCCAGCCCCCTGTCCCCCCTCCCCCCCCACACACACGGTTCTGCACGGGACCACTGCGTTCAAAGGACTTCCGGTTGCTTACGCCAACAAGAAGGTGACCAAATCCTGCTGCAGAAATGTTGTCACATCTGTGTTGAGTAGAGCTTTGAACAGTGTAGGGTCACAGCAGCTGAAAGGGACAGCCAGCTCGGGCTGCCTGGGACTGGCTGGGGAAGGAGCCTGCGCCTGCAGGCCACGTTGCATTCGCAGTGTCTGCACCTCAGAGCACCAGGCCCAGTGCAGGAGCTCCTCCCTTCCCCAGTCCCAGTCTCTCGCCTTCCTCCTTCTGGGGTTCAGCCCTGGGCTTGCCCAGTGGCACCTGCAGGCAGCCCTCGGGGCTGGGAAGACTAGTGAAGGACAGGAGTGATGCGCAGAAACTACCTGTCCATAAAACTGCGGTTCTTTCCTGCTCCCCCCACTCCAAACCTGTTTGGTGTGTGAACTGTCACTGATTGACTGACATGCTGGAAGGTTCTATTAAATGTCCTTTAAGATTAAAAAACAAAAACAAAAGTAAGGGATCACATCCGTCCTTTGAATGCTAAAATAAACAAAGATTGTAACAAGAGTTGGTGAGGCTATGGAGCAACTGGCATTTCTATTATCTACTGCTAATAAAAAAAAAGTGGTCTAGTCACTTTGAAGAAATTTCAGGTGGTTTCTAATGAAGTTAAACAACGGCGTCCCCTCTGGCTCCGCACTTCTACGCCTAGGTATCCTCCCCAAAAAATAGAAACACGATCACACAAAAGAGATCTGTATACTACGTGCATAGAGGTTCTGGTCTTGAGAGCCACGGATTGAAAAAACCAAGGTCAGCAACCAGCAAACTGATCAACACAGAACACAATACCAACGAGACTTCCTCACACCATGAAAAGCAGAGAGCGCTCTTGACTTAGTGAGTTCCCAAAATGCCACGTGGTGTTAAAGAAGCCAGATTCAAAAATGTGCCTGTGACATGAGATTTCAATGGCACAAAACCCAAAAACAAGCCAAAAAATGGGTAGTGACAGAAATCAGAGAACAGCCGCTGGAAGAGGGGGCGGGGACTTTCCTGAGGCGATGGGAGTGTTTTATAGCCTCTTTATAGCCACCTGTGGTGCTTACACAGGTGTGTGATTGTCAAAAAGGAACCATCTAACCACTAAGGGATCATTTGATTTTATGTTAATTATCACTTGATTTAGGAGACATTGAAAATATTATCAAACAACTGCAGAAAAGAACAAAGCAGCAACGAGGCTCTGAGTCTGTGCAGTGAACTGTGATGGATTCCGAGCAAGGAGGGAGGGGAGATATGGCAGAGGTTGCTGGGGCAAAGGTGTCCTCCCCCACAGCACCTGCAGGGGACCCTTTCACCTCAGTCAGCCCCCCAACAAACAGTGTAAGAGCTAAAAGAGCAGAGACTCCAAGGACAGCTGGCCTGAGAGTGTGGGATAGCTCTCAGGCGTTGAGCCAAAACCACTTTCCAGGAAATGCCAATATTTGTGTTTGGGAAAGGGGAGGGCACATTAAGGCAAGCCAGAGCCAAAATGTGCTGGTCTTGGACAATATTTGTTGGCCAACTGAGGGACACTGTGGGACAGGCTTTGAAGTGCTGCTGTAGAGACCCCTTTGTGGGCGTCTGGGGTGGGGTGGCCAGAGAAGCTCCTCACTGGGCTAAAGGTGGAGGTTACCTAAGGACAGAGGTCTCCTATATGCAAGGTGGAGAATCTCCCATTGCCTGAGTTCAGAGAGCTGCCCGGCTCCCAGCCATTCGCCTTGTTAAGCCTCCGACAGCCAAGGGAGGCGCCATCACGCACGGTACCACCTGTTACACACCCTGGTCTGCCCCTTGAGAACCTTGTGGCCCGGGGAAAGCAACTCAGCCCTCTGAATTTGTTTCCTTATGGTGAAATGCAGAGAACAATGCCCACTGCTGGCCAAGTAGAAACTCCTAGTGCCTGTGAAAGCTCCCCTCAGGTCCCCACATGGGCTTCAGAGGGCCATCCAGGAGGGCCATCCAGGAGGGCTGTCCAGGAGGCCTATGGCAGTCTCTCAGCTGGCTAGGGAACCCTTCTGGCTGAACTGGCATTCATTTTTTAATATTTTGCCCACGTGTTCAGGAGGTTTCTATAATCCTAATCTTTGGTTCATGACACAGTTCCATGCATATGTGGCTTGCTTTTTATTTAATTTTTAAAACTTTTATTTTAATATTAAAAGACTAAAAACAAAAACATGCATGGGGCCATCACCCAACTCAACAACATGGAGGTCTCCCTCTACCTTTCCATTCTGTTCCATTAGCTCCTGCGTGTCTCATACTTTCTGTTGGTGCAAAGTGCTAGGAAGATTGTCCGGCAGGTTAAGTGGCAAAGGGAACTAGCTCGGGGAGGGCGATCAGGGAAGAGCTCTCTGAGGTGGAGTCATTTGGATAAAGACCTGAAAAGGGAGGACACACGCGAGTAGCGTTCCTGTGCGCCAAGCCGTGTGTATGCGCATGCGCTATAAAGAAAGGGGCAGAGTAAGTTCTAGAGTGGTGGGAAAGAAAACAAGGCCTTTCTTGGCCTTCCAAGTTTCACTTAGCCAGGGCTATGTGGTACCACCCATCGTACAGATAAAGAAACTGAGGTTCGGAAAAGGTGACCTGCCCCAGATAGACGTCTAGTTACCGGCAAGATTGTGGTTAGAGTTCAAAGGCGCCATTCTTCAAGGCCACCGGACAACCAGCTGCTGCTTCAGCCTGCAAATGATCTGAATTCCACAAAATGCCTCCAAGAGCTTTGCTGCTAATGAAGTGAGAAATAGTATAGTAAGATGGTGCTCTTCCAAGCCAGCACTTACTGCCAAACAAAATTACTGAAGACTGGTTAGCATTCTGACATTTTTGGTGACCTTACACCATGTTAAAATCCATGTGACTCTCTCCAAATCACTTTCTTTTCATTGGTGACATCTGTTCCTAAGAGGACATCAAAAATACTCTAGTGATGTCCTTTGAGATTTGAGTTGGGTGCTATGGTCCTATAAACAATACTTTTCTTTAATAAGCTACAAATGACCGAGAAAAATACTAGATCAATATTTTCCCATGTATTTCATTAAAAGTTTTTCCACACCACCACTCCTTATACCGCTTCGATTCTCTGTCCCCCTCCTTCCCTCTGAACCTCAGAAACCCCAGCTCAGTTATCAGTGGCTACTAAGTTTATAATTACTTTGCTTCTTCACTCCACCTGCTGTGTCTCCTCATATTACTCATATATGTGACAGCCTCCAGCGTTTGCCTTTATCTTTCTGACTTACTTCAAGTTACGTAACCCTTCGAGCTCCTTCCATTTTGCTGTAAATGACAGAACTTCATTTTTCCTTGCAGCTGAATGGCACCCACTGCACCGCTAGACCACATCTTCCTGACCCAGACCTCTCTCGGTGGGCATGTCCCAGCTATGTCAATAAGCTTCAGTGATCACTGTGGCACAGAGAATGTTTTGGGTGCATGAGCTCTTGGATACTCATTTATATATATTTCAATGCCATTCCCGGAATTCAATAAATGGCAAGAATTCTTTTTTATAATGCTGTGTGTGGAAATACTGAGGTCAGAATTTAAAGGCTCACCAACCTCTTTTTTTTTTGCAGCTTTCATTTTGGTGTGAGATGAAGCTGGGACCGAGATATGAAGACATCTGAGTCCATCTGACCTGCATTCCCATTAAACCTCAGGCTGAATGAATTTCTCAAATCTGTCTTCCTCTTTGACCGCTAATCCCTTCCTTCCAGGAGCTTCTGGCCCCTCCACTCTGGACTGGTCTGTGGCCACTGGCCCACGTGCTGTTGCTGTCTTCCATTCCCACACTGAGCCCTGCTACAGCTGCAGAAATGATGACTCAAGAGATCACGGTTGCTGACTTCCGAGAGCCTGTGCCTTCTCCCGGGAGAATAAGCAGATGAGAGGGCCTATGTATTTTCAGAGATGAGAGGCGAGTGCAGGCAGTTCTGAATCATGCCTGGGCTCTGCCTCCCATTTTCCTCTTGAGAACAGTCCAGAAAGTATGCAGATATGAAAGCTAATGGCCCCGGGGCCTGCCATCTCTTGGCGCAGGTAAGAACTGTGTCTGCTTTCAGTTACTTCAGCTTCGTCTCAGAAAGGTCTAGCAGGTACCACTAAAGTGATTCAGCCTGGAATGACAGCCGAGGGTGACCCTCTTTACAGCAACCTGTCCTGAGCCACTCTCTACCGCGGTGGAAGCTGGGAAGCACCACAGGTGCATTCTCACACACATACCCCGCCCGCAGCTCTAATTTGAGGAAAACACAGTGTCAAAGCCTAACCCACATCAGACAAACCTTCTGGCCTGTAGAGAGGAGCCCTAGAGAAAGTGCACAAGAGACGCCCACCTCAGTCACAGATCTGGCTGTGTTCCTTAACCTCTTTGTGCCTCAGTGTTCTCATCCGTACAATGGGGGTGATGCCAGTATATATGCCGCTGGGGAGGGAAGGGGAGTGAGTTCACACAAAAAACACTTCGAGTGGTCAGGACTTAACAGGGGTACCTACTGCTGTCATAATAAAGATAGGGTGCCAAAGGAGCCTCGCTGGGGAACACTAAACAAAATTTAAAAATACAAATGAATGATAAATAAGAAGACGGAGAGTTGCTTTTTCTTCCCAGGAAAAGCCCAACATGGCGCTGGCCTCTGGTCCATGGTGGGTGGCATGTGTGGGAGAACAGTGCCTATCCTTAAGTCTGAGGTGACGAGTAAGGTCAAGGCAGAGGCAGCAGATGGGGACGACCTGGTGGAGGGTTTTCTCACTGGCGTAGACTAACTCCCCCACTGAGGGTTTGGAGGAACTATCAACTAGGGCGGCACTAGGGACCCTGCTGAGGAACTTTGAAAGATCTGGAAAGCCAGGCCATATGCACCTGGGACCAGCGAAACGAGAATCCCCACAGCTGGCCCAGGCACCGGGTTGGGCAGAGCTCCTTGGCAATTCCAATGTGCAGCAGGGCGTAGACCCACGTCCAGGTCTGGAACTCTCCTTCCAACACGGATGGTGCTCACCCTGGTCACTGCTCAAGAGGCCCAGATACAGTCCATTCTTGCCATGGAGAGAAAGAAAACCCACCAAGCCCCAACCAGGACAGCAATGGGTAAGTATATGTCCTTATGACAAGTAAGGGTCCCCACGTGCCTGGGGTCCAGTCTCGGTGTTGAATCAGAAAATGGATAGACGGGTAGATGGATGGACGGGTGGACGGATGGATGGATGGCTACAACGCCATAGCAAATGTCTGCTGATATGGGAGTAAAACTGCTTAAAATCTTTCTAGAGAGCAATTTAAAAACATTCACAGCCAATGACCCAGAAAATCTACTTCTTGAAATCGCCCCGAAGCAATGCAGGCCTTGGCTGGATTTTGTCAAGCACCTACAGTTCTGACTGAGGAGATCTGTGGGCGACAGAAGTGCAGAAGGAGACGCTCCAGCCCAGCGTGGCCTCTTGCAATCCCACTTCCACGGGGTGGGAGAAGGGCACCCTCCCAAGAGGCCACTTTTTTTTCTTTCATTAGGAGTTGGAATTGGCACAGACGCTGGATAAGAAGTCAGCGTTGACTTCAGAGTTCGGGGACACAAACACAAAAGAGGTTCTTGTAGAAAGATTTACGGAAGTCTCAGCCAGTAGTTCCCCCCACCCCCCACAAAAAAAGACACAGTAAGGCGGAGTCCAGTGTCACATTCTCAGCAGAGCAGCCCTCCAACACCCTCCCAGGGGGTTACTGCAGAGTGCACCCCCATCTAGGGAATGGCATGGCATGAGAGGCATTTGGAGTTCTCATCTGATGCCCAAAGAGGGCTGTTGAACTTGGAAGAGTTAAAGATCTTTCCTTTCTGAAAATGCAAGCGTTTGGCCTTGGATTACAGCTTGCCAAGGAGAATTAGTTTGTCAAAACCAAGGCCTGTCCCTCCGCTGTCTCTGGGGAGGTGATGAGGGGCGCTCTCCACTCGCGTGTGCCCCAGCGTCAGGACAGGGGGCTTTGCGTGGGGGCTGGAATCAAGGGGAAGACATTCTGCAGCTGTGCCTTTAAAGAAGGTCGCTCTGCCCTCTGGAGCCATAAATGTGTTTAGAGTGTAGGGACTTCTTGGTACTTAAGAGGAAATAGAATCATCTTTAAATTGAAAAGCGTTCCCTGGGTAAGACCACTTATGAGAGGTTTAGTCCAGAAAAAATATTATTCTTGTGGTACAAAATGAAAGCAGTGGAGGGAAAAAAAATCAAAGGGAATGATCAGTCAGGAAAAATTTCGGGCTCCAGGATGCTGCAGGAGGCCACAGAGAAAGCACGGCTGAGACTGAGCAGACTTTTCCCTACCATCACTTTCAACCAAGTCTAAGTTTCTTTGTCCAATGCCCCTTCCAGAATTTAGCTGGGGGATTTCCTGCCGACCTCATGTGTAAGAGTCCAGGCCAGGTTAAGCGGTGGGGAGGATTCTGGGAGGGAGAGGCCTCAGAGGACAGCTGTGAGGATGTGCCGAGAAGGCCGGGGCTGCTCCCTGGCACCGGCGCGGCCTCGTCTCAAAGGGTTTGTGTCATAGTGTCGCCCTGTCGTGGGCCGGACCCGCCACTCTGCCAGGAGCCAGGAGCTGCGTGGGGCTCCCTGGGGACGGTCCCCAATCTGGAAAGTCGCCACCAAAAAGGTCGATGGTGGGCATGTCGTGAAGTGCTGGACTTCAAGGGCTACATCGGCGCTGCCGTCATCACTGCGGCCACTACAGCCGCACTGAACAGAGACTAAAGCCAAGCGTTCCCTGAAAGCTGACCGAAGCAGTGTTCTTGACCCCTTCAAAAGCAAAGGTTTGCCCCTCAGTGAGTCTGCGGCTCGGCAAAGCAAAAGGCCTGGCTCACAGCTGCTGTCCACTTCCCCCGCAGTCGCTTTTGTTTAGGTTATGCTGACCTCCACGTGGCCAGATCCCCCAAGGCTCTCAGCCCTATCTCACTCATCTCAGCAGTGTTCCACGCAGATGACTGTTCCTTCCTTCTCTTCAAACATAAATCAGATTGTTTTTACTCAGCTCCTTGAAACTCTCCAGTGGCTTCACATTGTACTTCAAACTGAAAGCCAAGCCCCGCAAGGCCCTATCTGACCTGGCCCCATGTTAACTCTTCCCAGTCTCACCCGCCACCCCCACACCATCCCCCTCCATTAGAGTACTTCTCTCGCTGGCAACTCCCATGTGCCTGTCTACCTCAGGGCCTTTGCACTGGCTGTTCCCTCAGCTTGGAATGTCCTCCCCATAGCTGTTTCCCTCTCAGCCTTTAAGTCTCACATCAAAACATCTTCTTAGAGAAGATTCTAGCACCATCTGTGAACCTCACCTTCATTCCAGTTATTCTCTTTCATAGCAACTTCTGTGTCTTTCCTAGCCCTGAGCATATTTGTAATTTAGCTCCCCGCCTCCCCAAGTTTACTGTTTATAGGCTCTCTCCTCCATCCCATCTGGAGCGTAGCTCCTTGCGTTCACTGCAGTAGCTGCAACACCTGGAATACGCTTGGTCCATGGATGATAGTCAAAGAATACTTATTTGGAGGAGGGGAAGGGAGGGAAAAAAGGAGGGGAGGGAGGAAGATGGGGGTGGGGGGGAAGAGGAAGGACGAAAGGGAAGGAGTGAAAGAACTTCATATTTCTCACACTGGCACCCCTGGGTTTTGAGGAATGGGTTCCATTTCTGTTCTCTGGAAGCAAAG